GCAGGCTCCATGGTCACCGTGGAGCCCGACACGGGGCTTGATCCCACAACCCAGAGAACATGACCTGAGCTGACATCCAGAGTCGGATGTTCAACCGACTGAGCCACCCAGGCGCCCCTGTGTCACAATTTGCAATTCCATAAATACAAACACCAGAGTACACTGCTTTGTCTTTGGAGATCAAACATACTTCTGGCCTTCTGCAGTCTGTCCCCTCTCATGTGATACTGGGACCACGTGAAAGAGGAAGAAGGCTGGGACTGCGATCTGCCTCCCATGCCCGACTCAATGCCCCGCATAGTGTCCCCACCATGAGGAGCATCACTCATGAGCAACCAGCCAAGTAATCACCAATGGTACATGCTACTCCTGCTTCCTAGGGGATGAAGACAGGCTGCACTGGTGCTTACAGAATATCCTCCTGCATGACCAGGAAGAAATGAGCAGGAAAAGAGATGGTTCCTGTTGTGTTGTATTATGTTTTGTTTTCAGATTGGCCACTTGAGGTTCCTCCCAGCCTCGAGGCTGGGGTGCCTCCATGGTCCGGCGACACTGGAGGCGAAACCTCCGTGTACATACAGAAATAAGTAAGAACCCAGAGGGTAAAACTGCCATTTAAACAAGTGCACACAGCAGGCATTACAGTTGCTTATAGAATGACTCATGTCTTGAAATCTACCTGAGCGATTGATCCACCTGTGTTTGCCATGTCCTGCCCCCATGGGGATGATGTGGTCATGCCATTAACCTGTGGTGACTGCATTTACACTAAGACAGAAAAAGGTTCAGAAGTTCCCAACTTGCGAAATCCAGGGAGTCAACTTATCCTCTACAATGTCTTTTAGTCACTTGCATCCTTAAACTGTAAGCACCAAGTCTTCCCGAGGAGGTGGGGGAGGGGGAAGAGGGGGAAGGATTAAATAGAACAACCACAAATGGAGTCCACTGGTTCTGAAATAAGCCATCTAGTTCCATACAACGTAGAGGACAAACGATCATTGCAATGCAAGCTATCTGGAAACTCTTGAGGGTACCATCAAGCTAATTAAAAAAATTTTTTTAAATGTTTCATGTATTTATTTTGAGAGAGAGAGAGAGTGCATGTGCAAGTGGGGGAGGGGCAGAAAGAGAGGGAGAGAAAGAACCCCAAGAGGGCTCCTCCACACTGATAGCACAGAGCCTGACAGGGAGCTCGATCCCACCAACCATGAGATCATGACCTGAGTCGATATCGAGTCTGGTGCTTAACTGAATAAAACCCCCAGGCGCTGCTCCATCAAGCTAATTTTCAATGAGCTTGGCCTCTGCTTCCTTTCACCTACAGTAGGTGTCTGGATATCACCTGTGACCAGCGGGAAGTTCTGGCCAGGGGGTATAGCATGGGCAGGTACACAGAAGTTAGTTTGCGGGGAGTAAAATCTCTTACATACACCATTTCTTGTTCACACCTCTTAATCTGTATATGCGATGTCAAGGTCTGGATTTGCACTTAAGATGTTAATGAAATTGTTTGTACAAAGTTGCTAACACAATTTTTCATGCCCTAAGGCCTTTCTGATTTCAGAAAGGAATCAGAACACTAGAGTCCTATACCTGCTATTCTGTACTTTAAAATTCTCTTTATTTGCCATTAGTAGTTAATCCTCATTACTAGGTTAAAACTCATATTAAATATTCCCCATTTAGGGGCGCCTGGGTAGCTCAGTCGGTTGAGCAACCAACTGCAGCTCAGGTCATGATCTCAGGGTTCATGAGTTTGAGACTCGCATCAGGCTCTCTGCTGTCAGAGCATAGTCCACTTTGATGCTCTGTCTCCCCCTCTCTCTGTCCCTTCCCCACTCATTCCCTATCTCTTTCTCTCTCTCTCCCAAAAATAAACATTAAAAAAATGTCCATTAAAATTATTTGTATGTTTCTTGTCTCCTGATAGAGCATTGCACATTTCTTTTTTTTTTTTTTAATGTTTTATTTATTTCTAGGAGAGAGAGAGAGACAGTGTGAGCAGGGGAGGGTCAGAGAGAGAGGGAGTCACAGACTGGAACAGGCTCCAGGCTCTGAGCTGGCAGTCAGCACAGAGCCCGACGTGGGGCTCGAACCCACGAACCGCGAGATCATGACCTAAGCGAAAGTCGGATGCTTAACCGACTAAGCCACCCAGGCACCCCAGCATTGCACATTTCTAAGGGATATGTGAATTGAGTTATATAGTGTGCAAACTGCCCGACTGTCCATGATAGCAACACACAGCATCCCACACATTTTATTAAGGTACTCCCCATTTTACACATCATTCACCTCCACTAGACCACAGGTTACTCAATGGCAGGGACTAAAGAAGACACTAAAGCAAAGTGTTAAAGACTGGGAATCTGTAGCCCAATTGTGGTCACAACACTTAAAAGGCAATGGTCAGAAAATGGGGGAAACTGACTTTCCTCATAAAACTGGCTGTGAGGATTAGCAGAGAAGAAAAGAACTGTTAAACACTACGCCAGCATTTTCAACAGTGACTAGAATCCAGTAGATACTCTGTGACTATTGAATGAATGAACTCCTGTGTCTTAATATACAAACAAAGAAGCTTTGCCTCTAAGATAAAAGACCAAGATTGTTGTAGAAAGGCACTTCATTTTTCATTTGTTGGAAAACCTGTGGCTTCGGAAATCCTTTTTCCATATCCAGTATATATTCAATGGCAGTTAGAGACAGGAAGAAAAGGAAAATGAAAGGGGACTAAAATGACCAGGAAAGAGGGGCGCCTGGGTGGCTCAGTGGGTTGGGCGTCCGACTTCGGCTCAGGTCATGATCTCATGGTTTGTGGGTTCGAGCCCCACATCAGGCTCTGTGCTGACAGCTCAGAGCCTAGAGCCTGCTTCAGATTCTGTGTCTCCCTCTCTCTCTGCCCCTCCCCTGCTCATGCTGTCTGTCTGTCTGTCTGTCTCTCTCTCTCTCAGAAATAAAATGTTAAAAAATGTTTTTAAACAAAATAAAATAAAATGACTGGGAAAGAGCATAAAAGGTAGAGGACGTCTTAGAGAGAGGATGTGATTCAAATATAGAAAATGAAAATGTTTTTAAATTATGTATTTTTAAGTTATTTTTTAAAATATATATTTTTAAAAACCAGATGAAAATTTTAAAAAATACATGTGAGGAGAAACTGAAGAAGGAGGGGTGGGGTGAGAATTGTACAGAGAAATGGTGAGCGGGGACAAAAAAAAGGAATATAGCTCTATATAAACCATCTTGGGACTTTTTCATAATTGAGAACACTCCGTGATTCTTCCCTTCCATGGTTTGGCTTCATTCACCACTTGCTCTTCTTCCGTCTCGATCCTTCTCGCTTCTTAGGGGCACTGGGAATTCGCCTCTGGAAGAGTCGCTCTAGAGGGACCCATCACCCTGAGATATTTGTCCCTGTCGGTCGGTCGCTGGCCCCTGTTGCAAAGGAGCTTCTCTTCTGTTCCTGCTACTTTTCCTGGGTTTCACGGACCCCGGCCACCTCTATGGGATGCTCGCTCTGTTTTGAGGGTTAGGAAAACAGGGAGAACAAAAAGTAATCTCTCCACTATGAGAAGCCTGCACTGGAAGGGGTTAGCCCCTTCCCACTGGGGAAATCCCCCCTCCCCCCCACCCCGTCTCAAAATGAAACTGGGTTAATTGGGAAGGGCACAGAGAAATCCAGAAGCCCAATTAACAAAATCTGAAATCTCCCAATTAACAAGATAATTGTTACATGGCTTTGGGGCAGCATTTGGAGCTTTAAAAAAGAAACCACTTGTTCCTGGCTTAGCCTGGGAGTGGCTGAAGATCCTTTCCGTCCCACAAAAGGAGCCTAGAGGTACACAGATTCCAAGAAGTTTGGAGAGAAAACCCGTGTGGAAAGCCCTGGATGGATGCCAAATGTCCCAAGGATCTTGAGCGGAAATATCTCTTGCATATTGGACTTTATTCCAGGGAGATAACCAGTGTCAAAACCTTCGCGTAAGAAGGGGCCTGACCTACACAGAGAACATTCTTGCCCAATCGTCCTGGATGTTTATGGACTTGCCTTGGTCCTTACCTGAACTCCAATATTATCCTGTATTAGTGCCCCCTTGGCTCTCTACATTCTGGGGAGCATATGCTACCGCTCTGGTAGTTTTTATTTATTCAAAGTTTGCTTGTTTGTTTGTTTGTTTGAAGAGAAAGAGATAGGGAATCCCAAGAAGGCTCCTTGTTATCAGCACAGAGCTCGATATGGAGCTCGAACCCACAAAACGTGACATCATGACCTGAGCTGAAATCAAGAGTCAGAGACTAAACCGACTGAGCCACACAGGTGCCCCTTTTCTGGGGCTCTTTTTGTTTTTTAATGTTTATTTACTTATTTTAAGAGAGAGAGAGAGTGAGCAAGAGAGGAGCAGAAAGAGAGGGAGAGAGTGGACAGCACAGAGCCCAACGCGGGGCTTGAACCCACGAACCACGAGATCATGACCTGAGCCGAAACCAAGAGTCGGATGCTTAACTGACTGAGCCCCCCAGGTGCCCCTGGGGCTTTTAAAATCAAGATACAGGGGCGCCTGGGTGGCTTAGTCGGTTAGGCGTCCGACTTTCGCTTAGGTCATGATCTCGCGGTTCGTGGGTTCGAGCCCCACGTCGGGCTCTGTGCTGACTGCCAGCTCGGAGACTGGAGCCTGTTTCAGTCTGAGACTCCCTCTCTCTCTCTGACCCTACCTTGCTCACGCTGTCTCTCTCTCTCTCTCCTAGAAATAAATAAAAATATTAAAAAATAAATAAATAAATATAAATAAATAAATAAAATCAAGATACAGTGTCCATGAAAAACCTAAAATAAGATATGGTAGGACAGAGACAGGCTCTGTGGGCTGAGGCCTGGAGGAAGGAGGCCCCACCTCACCCTGGAGAGCAGAAGCTCATCTCCTGCACCGAATGCAGCTTCTGTTTGTGAGGTCAAGAGGCCCTGAGGAAGACAGTCACAAGAGCGAAGAGGAGCTCACAGTCCCTGGGAGCACAGTCACCGCCACCCTGAAGCAGACACGCTGCTTATGACGAGAGCTCTGTCCTTGCCATGCCGGACCTGGCCACCATCTGTGTCCTTCCAGTTCCTGTGACAGTCTGTCCCCTCCCTGGTACGGGATAGGCAGGGTAGCCAGCTGTTCATGGTCTTCCCCATGAAGGTGCCAGGCCAGGTTGCCTGCGGTGTGGACTCCGAGTGGCCTGCGAGCCTCTCGGATGGGAGCCCAGGCCATTGTGCGTGCACCTCTCACCAGCATCCAGGACACCAGGACCACGCTGTCAATGGCAGGGATGTCCCTTCACTCTCAAGATGTTGTGTTGTTATCCTTGAAACAAGTCTCTGCTTTTGTTTCTCGTGCTCTTTTGCCGGGAGGTGAGGGAAACAAGATGCAGAGGCCTGGCCTCACCAGCCCTGGGAGCTACCCACTATAAGAGAGCACTGCCTGAGGTCTGACTGGAAAATACCACTGTCAGGGTGCCTGGATAGCTCAGTCAGCCAAGCATCCAACCCGGATGGGGTCATGATCTCACAGTTTGTAAGCTCGAGCCCCACATCAGGCTCTCCGCTGTTAGCACAGAGTCTGCTTTGGTTCCTCTCTCTTCCTCTGTCTCTGCCCCTCCCTGCCCCTGTGCTCACTCTCTCTCTCAAAAATCAACAAACAGAGAGGGAGGGGGAGATGATGATGATGATGATGATGATGATGATGATGATGATGGGGCGCCTGGGTCACTCAGTGGCCCAGTTATGTGTCTGACTTTGGCTCAGGTCATGATCTCGTGGTCTGTGAGTTGAAAGCCACCATCTAGCTCTGTGCTGACAGCTCAGAGCCTGGAGCCTAGAGCCTGCTTCAGATTCTGTGTCTCCCTCTCTCTCTGTCCTGCCCCAGATTGTGCCCTCTCTCTCTCTCAAAAGTAAATAAACATTTAAAAATTTTTAAAAAGAAGAAGAAGAAGAAAACACTACTGTCCACACCTGAAATTAGCCATTCTGGTACATTCTGCGTATCTTCAACCAAGCCTGCTGATATCTCCTTCCCTTTGAATTACCAGCAAAGTTTTTGGAATACAAATGAGAATTTCTGTTCTGTGGGCAGGAAAGCCCTTAACCAAATGTAAACTCTGCTCTGTTAGTTGTTCACATTTTACTCTGCCACATGGTCCCTGACACCCCATAAGGGAAAAAAAAAAAAAAAAAACCCACCTGCGATTTCTTCCCTCCAATCAATAGAATGGCTGGTGATTAACCAAGTTCCACCCCATTTCCCCAACAGCAAAAAATGTCCTGTGGACTTGTGTACTTGGGGCTTTGGGGATTTTTTTCCCCCTTTTTAATATTCTCTTCCCCAATGTTTTAGTCCTACAGGCCTGGGAATTAATGAACAATTGTTAAGTATTCATACATTTGCTTTCAAAATCTCAAGAATAGTACTCAATCAAGTTCCCACATATTAAAGGAAAAGCTCAGAAGCTGAAATGCAACTAAACACCAGGGGCTCATCTGCACTAAAAAATCATGTGTGGGGAGAGAGGGGAGGGGGACCTGGGGGCTCAGGGAGAGAGGGGAGGGGGACCTGGGGGCTCAGTGGGTTAAGTGTCTCACTCTTGATTTCTGCTCAGGTTATGATCTCACAGTTTGTGAGTTCGAGCCCTGCACCAGGCTCTGCGTTGATGGTGCAGATCCTGCTTGGGAGTCTCCTTGTCTCCCTCTCTCTCTCTGCCCCTCCCCTGCTCAGGCTCTCTCTCTGTCTCTCAAAATAAATAAATAAAAACTTTTAAAAAAATTCACACCTCCCCAGAAGATTTCTGTAAGGAACCCGTGTGAACACCCCAGTCTATCATTTACAGAGAGAATTTCCTGCAGGGGAACGTAGCAGAGCCAAAGTCTCACGGTGATCCTTGACCGGATTTACACTGGTAGCTTTTCCCCACGGAGTACAAGAGAAACGTGAACCCCGGGCTTGGGTCCTCCTGTCACCCCTGTATCAATGACAAGCCACAGCAGACCGAGGCTCAGCTGCCCGGGGGCAGTGACTGGCACGGTTCTTGGAAAGTAATAGGAGAGGTGTCAGGGAAGATGGTAGGTAGCAGAAGCGATATGAGACCCTGAGAGTCCCACCCCCGACCAAGATTAAATGTGCGAACGGCTTTCTTCTCTAATTAGACATTTATACCATCCACTGTCCAACCTTAAGAAACATCTAGGGACTGCGCTCGAGCGTGCCAATTTTTCTATTGACCTTTCACAGCTTTGGGAAGCAAAAACCCCTCTGATGGTGGGGGTGGGGGCGAGCAGGGGACTCAGCCCTCACCCCCTCCCCCACGACCCTGCAGCGCGCATAGTCTGCCAGCCCTTCCGCCTAGCCCGCTGTCACAGGCGGGGACTCGGGAGGGAGGGACAGTCTGTTGAATGTTTGCATCTTCCATCCAAAGAATTTATCCCCATATGCTACAGGCAGCCTCGGATCACGGAAGCATTCTCTGTGCTTTCTGCACGGAACAGCTTGTCTCTTCCTGCTGCTCTACAAGCATAAAGAAGAGGAAATAAATACTCAAGTTTTCTGGGGAGTTACAGGCAAATGCTTCGTGCTCTGCATCTTGGGACTGTAAACATGCACGCGGCCTTCACCTCCCAGTCTCTCTGGCTTTGGGGAGATTTTGAGCATGTCTGAGGACACAATGGTCTTTAACAGCATTGTCTATTTCACCCCACCTGTTGCTCACCTTGCTACCAAACACATGCCAGTTGTAATGAGATGGAACCACAGAGAATTAGGGTGATCCTGGGGGAGGGGCAGGGGTCAGAGAGAGCAGAGACCTTTGCACCAGAGCTGTTTGGCCTCCAAACAAACTGTTTGGCTTTGGTTGTGTATGATCCAAAATGAAATGGAAAGCAGAGAGGGTAACCGGCCCAGCTAACAGAGGCCCAAACGAGGCTTCTCCTATCAAATATTGGCACAACTCATTCATGCCCTCTAGCCATTTGTATATGCCCCGTAACACAAACACACACACACACACACACACACACACACACAAAATGTGCATGTACATAAGTATATCTTAAAGAAATTTAAAATTACGAAGAGTTTTTCAATGAAGGCAGAGAATGTTAGATAGAAAAACTAGAACTGTCAAGGGCCTCCTGAAGGTCTAGAGTGGGCCATCTTTTTCTATGATGGGTGAATTTTTTTTATGTTTCATTTATTTTTGAGACAGTGCATGCGTATGCAAGTAGGGGAGGGACAGAGAGAGGTGGGCAGAGGATTCTAAGCAGTCTCTGAGCTGTCAGCACAGAGCCCTAGGTGGGGCTCAAACTCACAAACCGGGAGATCATGACCTGAGCCAAAGTCACTCAACTGACTCAGGCACCCAGGTGCCCCTAGACTTAATCTTCTTTTTTTTTTTTTAATGTTTTATTTAACTGAGAGAGAGAGAGAGAGAGACAGTGCGAGCAGGGTAAGGGAGGGACAGAGAGAGACAGAGAGACGGAATCCGAAGACAGGCTCCAAGCTCTGAGCTAGCTATCAGCACAGAGCTCAACAGGAGGCTCGAACCCACGAACCGCAGGATCATGACCTGAGCCGAAGTCGGTCACTTAACTGACTGAGCCACACAGGCGCCCCTAGACTTGACCATCTTAATGACAACACCACCTTAAGATTAGGTAATTCTTCCCCCCCTGCCAATATGCTGTTTGACTCTTCCCCCAAAACCGGCTCAACCCACAGACTTTCTCCTTCTCCATAAATAGCACTTCTGGTCTTCTAATTGCTCATGCCAAACCCTGACATGCAGCTTTGACTCTTTTCTCTCCCACCTCCCTTTCCACTTGTCAACAAATCCTGTCTGCCTCCTCTGGAAATATACTCAGACTGGGAACACCCTTCCCTCAGTCTCCCCATTTTCACTTCCCCACTAAGTCTCTCTGCGACATGATGGCAGAGTTTAGAAAGTAGGAAATCAGATCCTGGGTCAGTGGTGATCCAAACCCTGCAAAGGGTTCTGTCTCCCTCAGAGTCAAGCCCAAGCATCTGCCTGCAAGGCCCAAAGAGACCCCCTACTCCGAATTGACCCCCCACCTCTTGCATCCCTTGAGATGGCTACACCAGCCTCTCTGCTATTTTTCCCACACACCAAATGCACCTCAAGGCCTTGAACCCGAACATTCTTTTGTCCTGCCCCCACCTTTAAGATTTACACCCTCCCTCTTCAAGCCCCTCTTGAAAGTGAATGGGCATTCTCTCTCCCTCCCTCTCTCTCTGCCCCTCCTCCAGGCACACACACTCTCTCTCTTTTAAAATAAATAAACAATTTTTTTATGTGAATGAGAATTCCCCTGCCCCCATCCTGCCCTTGACACTACAGACGTTCTTATTACTTCCCATCTTAAGATCGTAGGGTATACCCCTCATCACCCCCTGACAGATGTTTACTAGTTTATTTGTTTATAGTTTCAGATTCCTTCCCCAGACTAGCCCCACAGGATATATAAGCTCCATGAGGCCAGAGGCTTTGTCCAGTTTGATTTGTGCTAATCCTCATGGCTAGAGCAGCACCTGATAGGAGCTCAATAAACATCATGATATGAACAAAAGCACCCAACATGTTATTAATGAATGTCTACTTTGTGAATGAACAAAAGCACCCAACATCTACTTTGTGAGGCAAGTGGCTGAGAGTAGTGAAAGAGCTGACATGGGCCCTGCCTGATGGCTGCGTGTTACTGGGGAAAAAACCTACTGCATGGATTATTTACATTAGATAATCTCAGACAGTGATAAAGAAAAATAGCATAAAGAAAGGCTAAGGGTAGGTAGGATGGGGAAATACTTGGAGCTGAGACCTGAATGTCAAGGAGGCAGCCTGGAGAAGAAAAGCATTCTAAGCAGAAGAAATGCAAAGGCCCTGGGGCAGGTACAAAGGTAGGTGTGTTGCAAAAACAGACAGAATGTAGTGTTCCAGCAGAACCTGGGAGGAGGTGAGGACTAAGATGAGCAGAGGGTCAGAACAAACATTCATGTTTTATGGTAAATCTCACAGAAGCTAGTGGAAGGATTTATGCAAGTTAGTGAGTGAGACAGTCTAATTGATGTTTTTTTAAAAGGTTTTTAAATATTTATTTTGAGAGAGAGCAAAGGAGCATGAGCAGGGGAAGGGCAGTAAGAAAGGGAATCCCAAGCAGGCTCCACACTGACAGCACAGAGCCCAATGTGGGGGCTGAACCCACAAGCCA